GGCCAAACAAAGTATTTTCGCTTTCGCAACGAAACACACAGCATCTTCACAACACGGCGGCGGCAGTGGCAGCAACAATAAAGTTACGCCTTCTTTCTTTGCGTATACATTTGGGCGGCATTATACAATTCTTCCCACATCATGACGTAGACATGTGGGGGCATGTTTGAACGAGGCATTTTAGGAGGGCGTGGACGAGTCTTAACTTTTATAAAGAATATCTCTTTGGGTTTGAGACTTTAGTCTTTGCAACTTTAGGGATCTTATCTATTCATGAACAGCTTGTAACACTCCAAAGAGAAAGGAAAACTTGAAATCGCATCATATGACCCCTTTAAAAATAAATGAAGTAGCTCTTTTTCATTTGATGGGTGCTGTTTTCCTGTATGTAAATTGTCTTCCCATAACAAGTTTCAGAGAAACTGGTCATTCGAGCATGTACCCACAGGAAAAGATCATCTAGAACCTGTCCAACTGTACCAGCGTATTGTTTCAGAACAGATGATAGCCTACCTATCCTGTGACAAAAGCACAAGTGGTGTGCAATTGACTTACTGTGCCATAAGAGGTGAATAAATAATAGCCTACATTAAAGACATTTCATCATCTGTATATCACACAAGGACTAGAAAACAACTCAAGTAGCCTAATGCAAGAGAACAGCATTAGTCCCATACCTTAAGCTTAGCTGTTAGTCTTACTCTTATTGAAAGACAGTTGACATACTAAGATGAATGAGTTTAATCAATCTCATTCAGCTGTAACGAATGTGAAAGAGCGAGAGTTTCGTGTGTGTGTGTGTGTGTGTGTGTGTGTGTGTTGGCGGTTTCTCACACAGCTCCCCTTTCATTCTTTCTCCACCCATCAGGCGGCCGCTCAGCATCTGTGTGTGAGCGGATCAGAGTTGAGCCCATTGCGGGAAACAGCAGCAGGCTGAGCGCCGCTGTCAACGACCGGCTCCAATACCGGACCACTGACTCCAAAATTTGACTTGATTTCCAGTATTCAGTCTGTAGCAGATTCAGGTAGGTGGTTGGCTGGATTTATTGTTGTTTAATATGTAGTAAATATGATTTTGTATATATTGGGGAGTCACCTTTGCGAAGCATTTTTAATAGGCTACAGACATAATCTAAGCCAGACACGCGCACCGAGTCACGGGAATTCACATTCCTTAAAGAACTGCATGTTTACATTTTAGGGATAGAAAACAGATTTGTTTTATATCATTAAATAGTTCTCCAAGCTTTAAGGTATGACCATTTATCTTTGTTATGCATACAAATATAATCAAAACTAGAAAGAATCGGGCACTTAAAAAGTAGACATAACGATCATAGAGGACAATCGCGATGACATTTTTTTAGGGATACTGACAGTCAGCTGAAAAATGCATAGCATTTTGAAGAATAAGTTAGACATAAATACGAAAATACACTTTAAAAAGACCATTCTCGTTGCATAAATAAAATGCCATTAATAATCATTGTTAAATATCATTAATAGGCTGTTGACTTTAATTTTGAACGTAGTAGTTAGAAAAACAAATAGACTGTGAAATTTAAAAAAAATGGCCATTTAGATGACAAAACGACGTTGTGTACATTTGATTATTTATTAGTCTATTTAATTATTATAAATAAAGTATTCAAAATTAACATCCTTTAATTATTGCTATAGTGTAATCATTTTTAGTTATTATTGTGTAAAATTAATAATCAATTCTGCATATTGGTTATGCAAACATAATACTCTGTATCTGTCGTAAAAAAACTGTATTGGTCGAGAACTAGCCTATTGTAATGTATGAAAACAAACGTGTGTCCTGAGAGAATGGATCGTTTAACTGTGGCTGTGACAGTCTAAAATAAATCAGTCTGTGTTGGCCTCGATTCTCTATCGACCCAAATAGCCTAAATAGATTGGGCTGAAATTAATTGGCAGGTCAATGCATTGGAAGCTTCTGTCACTGTCTCCCTCTTGGCATGCTATCAGTCACAAACAGTCCTGCAGTGCACGCGCTGTTTTTGTTTCTGTCTACAGGAAACTGCTCAATGCGATGACAAGACTCTTTGAATCGTCGGTCCATTTGAAAGCGCGCGCGTGCTTGTGTAAATGCTGCTGAGGGGGCAGGACAGTCCATGTTATCGCTCCGGTGCTCCTGACCTAAGCGACTGTCATTGAAAACATTCTGCCGGTCGCTGTACGGTGCGCTGCGCCAGATGAATGAAATTCCCGGAATGCATACGCTAGCCACCTGCCTGTTAGTCGCTGCTGTTTCATACTGGTACAGCAGCGAGCTTCTGACAGCGCTCCGTCTGTTTATTTCAGACTCAGCCCTCGGCGGGGACATGCCGGAACCCGAGGGGAATCGTCGGTCACCTCAAGGTGTCCCATACACCGACCTGCCGCACATCGTAAACGCCGACGGACTGCACTTGTTCTGCCGTTACTGGGAGCCCGACAGTCCTCCGAAGTAAGTGCGAGACATTCATACGCAAAAGAGATACAGATTAGGTCAGGCCTCTTGGGATAAAGCGAAAGATCCTCCGGTTACAGCCTCCGGTAGAGCAGGATGAGAGGCTGATAAGCGTTTACGGATGTTTCCTTACGGAGCTTATTTTTAGCCCACTTTCAAGAGCCTGCCCTTCACTTTCCAACACCTCAACGGTTACTTTAAAACACGACACGCATTCAAAACTACAAACAGGCTATAACAGTGAAGGTTCATATTGCAGTAAACGTTAACAGTGGGTTGATCTGCGGTTTTCCGCGAGGTTCTCTTTTATCACTTTTGCAAACTGCTGGCCCATCACATGATGTCTAAACTGGTGAGTGAGGAAATAGACGAGGAAGTTTCTTGTAAAATCCTCTGTATTTAAAGGTGCAGTTAGGAATATATAAATGTACTGCTAAATAAAAATATTTCACACATAAACTCACTAAAGAATTCAGTGTTTTAATGTTTAATTACAATAAAAATAATTTATAAAATAAAATGCTGTTTCACGTGGGTAGCCTAATGTTTCTAAGTTAAGTTTCATGAACAATAAACTTGACAAACACGGAAAGTAATGATAACTTGTCTTGCAATGGGTAGATGAAATGATTAAGTGAATTCAATGAAGGATTCGAACTGATAACTCCAGCTGCTAAAGCTGTATCTGAAATCGCTTCAGTGCCATTCACAACTTCTCTCCTGTGGCCTCATGGGATAGTATAGTGTCCATCTTGGGATCTTTTCGGAAGTAGTAGGTCATCCAGGCACTTTTTGCCTACTTTTTTAAAGAATAATTGTGACATACTCTTTTAATGTAGGCCTACTGTTTTTCATCCTACTGTATAGCATATTTGGATGCATGATGAGTCTTTTTGTTCATAATTCACACTGGACAGGCTGTATACCGCTGACACATTATGCTGGAAACACTGAAAATGAACAATACTTTGGAGAAACAACATTATATTGATGCAAAAAGATGTGAAATGAAGACTCCAGACATAACAATCTTCTAGAAAAGCTGTTTTATTTTACATGGAGCCGGTCGGCTCCTCATGGGTGCCGCCCTGTTGACATCACATGCCGTGCAAATTAACCGACTTATTAATAATAATAGGTTTACTTTATAGAGAATTTATATCATACAGGCAGTGCCTGCATTCACTCACAATGTTTTTTATAATCCAGTTTCTTATAAACACTATCTTGTTAAATGACTATACCATCCTGAATTACTCATCTGGTTAAAGTGAATGAGAAAGGGGCCCACTCAGTTTCTATGCAGTAAATGCTGAAGGGAATGTCTTGGTTTCCATGAGTCGAAAGCCCCGGCTCATGGCTCCTTTATGAACACTTATAGACACACACACTCTCACAGTACAGATCTGCCAATTTTAGTGTCATCCGCTGTGGTTCTTCTGAGTAATTATAAAAATAGGTCATATTTTTGAGCATGTGGGTTTGTCAGATGCTTCGATATACCGAACTGCACACATTCAGGCAGTGTTTGTGTGAGTGTCATGATTATGTCAAACAGGTCAAACTCTCTATGCCTACTGATACAGAGCTGTTGTTTTGCCATCAGCTATTCACCCTGAAGTGGCCATGGTGGCCAGGGGAGCATGCCGTTACCATAGTTACCACCTCTTCCCCTCTCTCAGACTAATTTGATCTCTAATGCTTGTCAGCAACAGTGTATATGACAAGAGTGTGTGTGTATCTGTACATGTTCATTGGCATATATAATAAGAGTAAATCGATAAACCACAAAACCATGTGATCTTCAGTGAAATGTTATAAAACCACAAATATTTTGTTTTGGGATGTGGAAGATGTAGCTTTTCCCATGTGACTGAATGGGAAAGATTCAGAGCAGCTAATGTGAAGCTAATGCAGGCATCAGACATGTTTATATCAGACATCTGAAGGAATGTTACCAGGATCCCCTCTGCTGCACTCTGTCATTCTGTTTATGGTGAAATATTTAGCCTGTGTTTGATCGCTTGAAGGTTCTCTGTCTGTTTCCTAGCTATTCAGAAACATTGCAGCTTAGGGTGCTAGGACATGGAAATTACTGAATGCTTCGCATCATGCTACAATAAACTGATCCAATATGTATGCTTTTTTTTGTATTATGTAACATCATCTGAATGAGGCCAAATAACCCAATTTCGAATCCCACCTTTTTACACATTTAGTGTAGACATTTTATATACTGTAGGCTAAATCTGGGGTTTTAAAACTTCTTGATGCCAAAAGCCCCCAAATATGATCTTTTTCTTCCTAAAATACAATGGCATCTATATATTTTATGTATAAAAAGCTGAAAATAGGAATATATGAAATAATCCAAAAGTATTATTACTAATAAATGTGATATTATAATACAACAAAATGAAACAATTGTTACAAAAAGTAAAAACCATTGGGTTTTTTTCTTGCCATTGTACTAAATGTAATATTACCATTGTAAATACAATGTAATAAAGATAATTCTTCTTAAGGTCTTAAGTCTCTTAAGTCTTTTTAAAAGCAGAATGAAATAGTAATGCAAGCAAATTTGGTAAATGTGATTGTACAAAAAATCTAAACATATTTCATTAATATCTTAAGTGAACATATTACCATGTTAGTACATTTTACATCTTTTTCCCTCTCAAATTGGTTGTGAACCGCCTAGCACTCACTTGCACACAGGTGACATCTACACCAAACCAACCTTTGAAAGTAAACATGAACGTAGTAAGGTGGTCTGTTGGAAGTTGAACTTCCACTTAAAAGAACTGTTATGAAAGACGTGAGCAGCTGAAGTGGCAAACTGTTTACACTGAGTTCACCACTTCACTGCTTGGTTTAACATTTAATATTTAACAGAACTACTCTGCTTACAGCCCAAACATCATCTCACAATGCCCCTGTACAGTCGCTTACATGGACATGTCCAGTGCTGATGCCACCAGATGCAGCCAGAGAAACAGGAAGTGGGTGAAAGTTAAAAAGACCACATAGCCCATTGTATGACCCCAGTAATGATTGACAGATTGCTCAATAGATAAGCTGGGCATTGAACCCATGCAAAGTGAATTAAAACACACTCATACACAGTCTGACAAATTGGATTATGCCGGTCCAGTGTGGTCCATCCTCTTCTGTCTAATGGCATTTGGAGAAAAATTCCTCTACCAAACATGGATATTTAAACAGCTGTTAGAGCAGTGCCAAATTAAACACACACACATTTGGGCCAAGTATATACAAGTATAGCCAAAACTGTACAGGCACACTTAATTTCATTATCTGTTTATCTCTGCTCTGCCCTTGATGATTGTTACTTTGTAGTTTAACTACTTTAGATCTATTTTGGAATTCCAAAGATGTGCACACACACACACTCTAGCAAACACACACAGTAATCTCTGTGTCTGCCTCGCAAACTGCATTCCCAGGGTTCAAGAACAAAAGCGTTTTGATCTAAGGATGATCATAACCACAAACACTTCCATTTTATCTTACACCAAGTTACCAGCTCGTAGATTGAGACTGAGAGGCTTTATTTTTAGTAAATACATTTCTGAGTATGACAGAGGAATGGATAGAAAGAATAGCAGATTCTCCAAATAGAAGTAAAGATGCCCACTCTCAGTCTGAGACCATGTGAGTCCATTATACATTTACAAAGACTATTTTTGTTACTGATTAGAGGCTGCATTGAGGTCATAGCAAATCTGCACAAGTTTGGACCTAATAAAGCTATTCCTGCTCTCTCTCTCACTCTCTCTCTCTCTTTCTCCTTCCTCACTTTCTGCCTTATTTTTTTCTGGGTTTTAGTGTGTATGCTGCTAATGAGCATATCTTGTTATTCTGGTGGGAGACTGTTAGTAGGATGTGTGTATTTCTCATGTGTTGGGAAACTGAGAAACGGTTCTGAATAATACCGGTATAAATATACCAGAACCGAATGACTTTCGCTTCTGTCAACGGTTATCGCACGTGCAGTTTCCAATGCATATTGAAAACCTTTTGACCAAGTGTCTTGCACTAGTTGTCATGAGAAATCAGGTCCCCTCTTAGGATTTCAGGCAATCCCATTGGCGCAAAGAACTTTTAATGGGTACTCTCTTTAGTGCCTGATTACAATTCTTACCACATCACATTATAATATGTCATTTAAACTCTATTACAATGACCATAAATGTCTGTTTTGGTCAGCTTATGAACAAGCATAGCATACAGATTCCCAATTAGCATGATACCTTTAGATCAATTACAAAAGGAATTAGAGTCACACTTTAAGGTCCAATTCTTGCTATTAACAAACCATTAACTATGACTTGTGCCTCAATAAACTAATAATTTGCTGCTTATTAATAGTTAGTAAGGTAGTTGTTAAATTTAGGTATTTCAGGATTAGGGATGTAAAATATGGTCATTCAGAATATGTGCTTTATAAGTATTAATAAACAGCCAACATGTTAATAATATGCTAATAAGCAACTAGTTAACAGTGAGAATTGGTCCCTGTGTTTTCGTAATAAGTCTAGTAAGTTGTTTCTTTTTAGTGAATCAGAAATATTCAGGAAAACCAATGTAGTCCCGATTCCCAAACAAATGTGTCAAGTGAGAATTGGAGCACATAGAACTTATTGAACGGTACAGTTAAAGATGTCTGTAGTGTTTTAGAAAATAAATTAATGAAATATGTTACCACTTTTTGGTTTGTTTAGTATTGTTGTTTAATAGGTCAATTATTGGATTCCATTTATGTCAAAACGTCAAAGTCTGTGTAAATACACTTTTTTAGAACTAAATTGTTGTAAATTTATTGAAATTATTTCCTTACAAGTAATAAAAGAATTGTTAATGAAACAGTTAAGGAATTGGAAATGTTAAAAGGAATCAGAATCAGCTTTGTTAAATTCTTTAGAATTCCCTTCCCAAATCAATAATGTGCGTTTTCCTCCATCAGGGCTCTGGTGTTTGTTGCCCATGGAGCAGGAGAGCATTGTGGGGGATATGCTGACATTGCTCACAGCCTGACCCAGCATGGCATTCTGGTGTTCGCCCACGATCACGGTGAGTAACAGACTCCTAATCAAACGGCTAAAATCCCTAACACACAGATTTGTTGGTTAGCAACAGTGCAGCAGTTTTGGGTGGTGTAGGAGGGCGTGCTCTTTATGAGACTGTGAGAGTGTGGGGTGAAAAACCTATTTTATGCCCACATTTGATTCCTTGTAATTCATCCACCCAGTTTTCTTGTCATTTACAACAGATGTTGTGGGCATGGACATCCTGGGTTTAGAGTGGGGGATGGAGTTGAGAAATGACAGAAATGAAACATGTAGAGAATACAGAAAATATTAGGTGCTATGTGTACAGAATGTTAAAGCCGTTTTGTGGCAGTGCCATGGTAACTAATGATTCACACAGAGAGACAGCAAGCCACCTTGTAATGAGCAGTTGGGGTTGTGTGAGTGTGTGATTTGACTGTCTGGTGTCTCGGTGTGAGTAATTGGTTCTATTGAAATACAACAAACAGAAACCATTACAGTCCGTCTCTGTTTGTTTCTTACTCTCTCTCTCTTCCTCTAACATGCAGTCTCACGTCTCAGTATGTCTGTATACCACATGCTTTTTGGAATTTCTATTCTATTCTATTGTTCCATTATTAATATTATGTTAATTTGCTTGACTAAATGTCATGTCAGTTATATGCCAAAATTTCCCGAGCTCTTCTTTGTGAGCCATTAGCATTGCGCTGTGAGTGACAGCCCTCTTTTATCTCTTGTTTCAAAGGAAAGCTGATATACAAAGACACGGGCGAATGGAAGCATATGTTACATGCTTAATTCTCTTTCTCTTACTGTCTCAGTTGGTCATGGCAAGAGTGAAGGTGAGAGAATGGATATCAAAAACTTCCAGATTTACATCAGAGACGTCCTCCAGCACATTGACATCATGAAGGGCCGGTACCCCAAGCTGCCAGTCTTCATCATTGGACACTCAATGGTATGACATAGTTTGAAACCAGTTCCCCATGTTTTTTCATAAGCGAACAGAGGTCACATGCTTTCTATAGACCTTTCTGTTCTTTGTGTTCACACCTAGGACAATAACTGTAAAGATAACTATATTTGTAGTGGAACTATATTAGTGTCCACACCAGTGATAATGTTCTGTTTATTAAAAGCACATGCTGCAGTTTTCTGATTGGCTGCCAGTGTTTTTATTTTTCATCAGACTGAAAAATCGTTCTGAAAGTTATGGTGTGGGCTCCACTATTCTCATACACTCTAAAAAATGCTGGGTTGTTTCAACCCAATTTTGGGTCAAATATGGACTAACCCAACTGTTGGGTTAAATTTTGGTTACATTTTTAAATTAACTTTTTAACCCAACAGTTGGGTTAGTCCATATTTGACCCAAAATTGGGTTGAAACAACCCAGCATTTTTTAGAGTGTAGAATTAAAATGATTATTATAAATTTATAGTATTGTTATCGTTATAGACAAATAACTCTACATTTTCATTGTAAATGCTATGGCTGTGAGTGAGAGTGAATATATATTAATGTAAGAGAGTAGACCACACTTGTGTTTCCCTAGCCTGCATGAACTTTTTGCATAGTTAGGCATGTTATCGGAATTTTGGGGCATTTTAATATTTAATTTTACATATTGATTTGTATTGTATTGTATTCATGCTTTCATGCAGCGCCGATTTTGGCAGACACTAACAGGTGCGCAAATGTCTCATTCATATTTACATGTTTCCTACATTTATATTAAAATATTTTCTGAGAAGCAGACATGTCACAAAAAGATGTAAATATTTTTGGAGGGTAAATTTCTATGCTAACATTTAACTCTCTGTTTAAAAACTATTCAAAGCCAACTACAACTGTTGAAAAAGATCAAGTAAACTTATTTTGAACTGTCTGTGACTCATGGGGTGGAGGCCGCAGGAAGACCGTTTGATTTTGCTTTGTTGCATTTCCCATGTTCAGTATGTGTTAAACCCAAACTGTGCATGACTGAAAGTGAACAAAAAATCCAGCTGGAAGCTCTTTACCTTTGTTTTTACTCAACAGTTCCTATTAATAAAACAGACCAGCTGCATACTCAAGATGCTTCATGAGCCCTATAGACTAGAAATGTTTCTGGATGTACGTATCTACACTGTATTTCTGTGGAACATCACCATCACGAAATCATAATATTTCTGGGATAGTTATATGGTATAAATACCTCACTGCATGAGTGTCCTGGTAAAGAAAGCCTTCATCTAAAGTTAGTACCCATAATGCACCTCTCTCCTGTTCCTTCAGTGCAGATTCTAACTCTAAATAATAAATCGTGTTTCTGCTGCTCTCCATCTCTCTTCCTTTTCCTCAACTTTAATTTAGTTTTCCCCCTCATTTACTCTCTAATCTAGTATCTTATGTAATACCAGGCTGTTTGGTCCTTATATAATCACAGTCTTTAATAAGAAATATGGAAAATGAAATGATTTTAAACATGCTTCCTGAAAAGAAATGTGCAATTAGGTTTGTCTTGTTACCTCCAGTCGTGGGACTGTGTGTCCTTGTACTTTTCATTTCCAGAGACCTGAGGAACTGAAGCTACTGGCTGAATAAACATTTGCTTTCCTGTCACATGTTTACAGATGAAAATGATCAGTGTCATATAATAGTGTGTGTGTGTGTGTGTGTGTGTGTGTGTGTGTGTGTGTGTGTATAAAGGAAGTGCACGTACAGATGCAAGCTGTGAGTGTAATTATGTGTGTAGGGTGTGTGTTTGAAACTTTACTCCCAGGAATGCAAAAATTCCAAATTAAAAAGCAATTACCTTTATAATCAAATCAAAGCAGACCACCTGTTTTCTTGATGAAGCTTTTAGTGTTAGTGTGCATTTGTAGTGTGTCTAAACTGAGTGTGTGTTTGAGTTTGTAAGTCTAGACCAAAAGTGTTTGTGTGTGAATGCGTAACTTAAAACAGCCCATTATTGGAGTTTCTTAGAAATGTGGTGGGAACTGTTCTTTAATCTCTCCACCTCTTTTGAATCCTGGCCTCTACTCATGAATATTCATAGATAGGATCATTATAGAAACAAGACGAAGAAAGCAGAGGAGCAGAGCATCAGAAAATTACAAATTAGGGGCTTCTCACTTAGATTTACCCATGTGAGGATGGAAAACATGTTTATTGCCGAATTAAGTCGAGTATGTATTTTTCATTCAGTGTATAACCAACAGAATATTAATACAAGGTTTTTAAACTTTCTGATAGCAAGGACCCCGAAATATGGTGTTCAGTTTGCGATGGACGCCCTTCCTAAAATACAAAGACAGCTATATACTTTAAAGTATACAAAACCCAAAAATTAAGCATGATATTATAAAACAACATGCTGTTTACAAAATAAAATAAAATAATCACAATTAATCTAATAATTTATGATTTGTTTTTACAAAGCAGAATTAAACTATAATATCATAAAATATATTCTTGGACCCTAGTTTGAAAGCCCTTGTGTTAAAAGAAAATAACCAGTAATGGAAATTTTTTTAAACTGTGGAATATACATGTACTGTATATGCGAAGAAGTACTCTGCAACTACTATATATTGCTGTTTTCAATAACATGACTGGGTCTGTTTGTTTTACTACAGGGAGGGGCCATTTCCATTCTGACCACCTGTGAGAGGCCGCCGGATTTTGCAGGTGTGGTTCTCATAGGCCCCATGGTTCAAATGAACGCTGAATCTGCTACACCCTTCAAGGTAAAAAGTCAATGAACATGCTATAGTGACAGTCAATTCTTCTTTCTCCCCAATTGTTTGCATTTAATATCCACCACAACTGAAACATGAGGCTGTAAATTAGATCTGCTGCCCCCTGCAGTCAGACTGTTAAATGCAATCAAATAACAATAGCTTTCAAATGTCAGCTGTCAAATAACAGCAGTGGAGCTCTCAGCCATGTGGCAGGCAGCAGTGATTTCTCTATTCAGTCAATCTCTGCCTCTCATCATATGTCAACTATGAACATGTTCCAATTGAATTTAACAACCAGAAAGTATCCAAATAGCCTTTGTGTTAATTTGGAAGTATTTAGAGTATCTATTGTTTAATCATTTCAAAAACACAGATTTTTGTGAATTATTTTGCTTTTTTAAAATAATACATAATGCCATTTTTGGATCAGTATTTTATCTAAAGCAATAACATTCATACATTTTCGGTGTGGATTAAGTCCAGGGCCATTGTCTGTTTATTCAATATGTGAACATTTTAATTTTCGTTATCTGCTTAATTGGTAAATTTGAGAATGTTTCTGTTAAGTTTTTAAAATGTGTAAATATGTAAATTCAGTCATTCAGTATTTGGTGTGACAAAAATGTTCAGTTCTCTGTAGTAAATTGTCAGTATCTGTGGGTTTTTGGGTTCTTTGCAGGTTTTCATGGCAAAAATTCTAAACCGCTTGACTCCCAAACTCTCTCTTGGTTCGATCGAGTCAAAATGGGTCTCACGGGATCCCAAACAGGTACAGGAATCTATGTCAAAGGTCTTCTGTAGAAGTAGGGCAATGTATATGTGCGTAAATTTCACATTGACAGTTAGTAGACAATCTGGCAGCGTTTTTTATAATGTTTGCAGTTGAAACAGTATTTACACAGTAAACCTACTCTTTCAGATTGAAGCATATACGTAGTGATAACATATGAATGTGATGTCTTCATAGCTTGGGTCTGGAATACTGTTACGTCCACAGAAACAGCTGGTTCCATTTATTCAGCCATAATACACAACATAAACATTATACAGTCAAATAGATTTCATTGTAATTGTTCAGGTTTATTTTACTCTGTTTACTGAGTGTAGTCTTAAGCAAAGAGTTACTGTTATATTAGGATCATGTTTGTAATCCTACATAATCTCCATTTATCCATTAGGTGGAGGCATATGACACAGATGAGCTAAATTATCACGGAGGGCTGCGCATCTCATTTGGAATGCAGCTGATGGAAGCTGCGGCTCGTATCGAGAGAGAATTACCCAACATCACATGGCCCTTCTTCATTCTCCATGGCGACGCCGACAAGCTTTGTGACATCAGAGGTGCTCATCTAATGTATAATGGGGCCAAGAGCACTGATAAAAAACTGAAGGTGAATCAAACGTGCATAAACATGGACCAAAAAATGCAAAAATGAACATTCTCTCATCATTTGCTCATCCTTTGTAGAACACAAAAGAGTATATTTCGAAAAATGTTTCAGTGTTTGTTTTTTCAGGTCCATGCAATAGAAGTCATTGGGGTCCAAAGTTGGTTTGGACCCTGTTGACTTTCAGTATATCAACAAACATTTTGAAACATTTTCATCTTCTTCTGTGTTCTGCAGAAGTAAGAAAGTCATACAGGTTTGGAAAAATATGAGGGTGAGTAAATGATGACAGAATTTTTATTTTGGGGTGAGCTATGCCTTTAAACTGCAGAACTCGAGGGTTGACTTGTGAATATGATCTGAGCTGTTGTTGTGCCAGTAGAGGTTTTGGATATCACAGAATAACCTGATCCAGATGCACATTCATGCAGTACTCTGAATAAAAACACATATCATAGACCTCCACCAATATTCATGCACAAACTGTAAAAAAAAAAAAAAATCATGTCATTTTTACAGGAAAAACCACATCTGTGGTTGCTGGAATAATTCTGTAAAAATATAGTAAAAAATGTAAACATATTTATGGAACAAACTGCAGTTTAAAACCTTAAATTACAAAATAAATAAATAAATAAAATAAAATAGAAAATCCAACAGCCCTTTTCTGTTTAATTAGAAAGGCCATGCTGCTACTAAAATGTGTTATATTGACAAACACTTTTTTTTACTTCCAAAATGTATTAGTATTTTACTGTAAAATTACATTAAATCTAAGGTTATATCTATATTACTGTTTTTCCCTGTATATAGTAAGGAAACCTATTTACTGTTTTTTACTGTGGTCTTTTACAGTTAAAATGACAATTTTGTACAGTTTATGCCTTCCTAACCCACAGATCTATATGTGTTTTTGTGACCAACAGGTATATGAAGAAGCCTACCATGCCCTACATCATGACTTACCTGAAACAATTGAGTCTGTCTTAAAGGAGGTGAGCACCTGGATCCTGGAGAGACTCCCCGCCCCTCATGGGTCTTAGCTGTCAATCACTGCATGCACACTTGCCTAAGCACCGCCCTTGACTGAATCTTTCATCTCTACTGACCAAGAGATGTCTGATTGCACTACATGCCAACAAAACCACCCTCACTTTAATCTACCTAGGTGATAACATAGATATGTCTAGGTAGATGCGCTAGTAGCAGCTGTTTCTATGGGCTGCTATACATAAGCCGTCCACCATATTCATAAGCCTGTATGTCTGTAACAGTAGTTATACGCGTGTATGAATATCTATATCTGCAATAGACTTCAGCAGACGGTTTTGCTAAACTAACACAATACAATACAACAAGACAAAGCCGACATTTAAAAGGTACTATAGTTTAAAAACCTGTAATGCTGAGTTAATACAAACACAAACCAACACATTCTTACATGTGAAAGTTTATCCAGTTTCTTTAGGAATTTAAATTTCGGCGGTTTTTATATCCAGAGGCTGCTCAATGAAACTTCACCGTTCCAAGATGGCGGAAGCGTCTACGTGCTTTGAGCGGTCGAATGTGGTGTTTACCTTTATATGTCGATGGGTAATAAGAGGTCATTAGTAAATGACCTTTGACCTAGAGATCCAATTAAGCTTTAATATGGCCAGTAAGGGTTCTGTGGGAGTTTATATTCCCTGTTAAACTTCAAAGGCATCAGCACTGCGGGGCATGGCTTGTGCATTACCATAGCAATCATCATGAGGAATATAATGCACCCGGTTGCCCTCAGTGCTGAGCTCTCTTTTGTTTTGCCACAGTAATGGAACACAGCTGCAATTTGTGCTTTGTGATGTCCACTGCTCATAAGAGATGCAGTGCTGCCCCCGCTGGACAACAGCAGTACTGCATTCTGCTGTGAGCGCAGTTACCAAGGCAACTCAACCTTATATAGCTTGTGGCTTGGCAGAAAAACAAACTGAACCTACAGAATGAGAATATGGTAATGCTTTGAGACATTCAGAGAGCAAAATGTCTCCTGGGCAAATGTAACATTGCACTCGAAGAGATCAATTAGATGATCTCTACAGACACATCTATGCAGGAGATCCCACAGATTCCCATATATTCACTATATATACCCACAATAAGGAGAATTGGAAAGGTTTGAAAGTCTGTTCTAAATTTCTTTTTGTGGTTTGACTGTTTCAAACACCTCAGACTGTTCCATTCCTTGGAGTAAGTGGGGAAGTAGCTGTTCTGCAGCTGGATTTACTTCATATGAAACCTATTTACAGCTGATTCTTTCTTATGGCTTTGGAATTGTAATATCTTATTCCTTTATTTTTACAAGCATTTCGTTACTTTGACTACTTTATTATTAATAAATATGTTACTGTTGAAATTATAAGATGTTCACATTAGCTTTTGACCTCATTGTAGACCTCAGGGTGCTCATGGGGTTTGTAGCTCAAAAACAACATGAAATTGTAAAAGGTCAGTCGTTCACACCAGCTTAACATTTAACACGACTGTTTTGATTCAGACAAAGGAAGGTTTTGTTACAGAGATTCGTCTGTAATCCTCAAAGGCATTTTATCAATGACTGTAGATCAATAAAGGTTTTATTGAATGTGGCACATTTTTAATGGAAGCAACAAGCAAAAACTTTCTCTAGCTTAATTTTTTTTGATTGATTGATTTAGATCAGTTAGTAATAATACTGCTATCTGTGGTGTGAGCAGAAATGAAATGTTCAGCACAAGATTGTGAATAGTGTGCATGTTTGTTAAGAGATTATGTAGAGAGAAACTATCGTTTGGATGTTTGTTTCACACGTAGAGCATTTTATTAAGTATATTGTCTCAATCATTTGAAATGGATCACTTGTACATGAAATGTATGTAACACTTCTTATGAGAATTTGTAGAATAACTAAATCTTTATAAGCGATAATCCTCTGTGACTTTGACTGTTTCTGTAACTGTTATAAAATCTTCCTAAGATGGAAGTACTAGGAGCACTGTGATTGGAGGAGAGGTTAATATTCTCAAGGACATTATCTTTACATTGGGCAATAATGCATGATTCATTTGGATTAGAATTGTCCATCTGAGTTGCTTGTCTTTACTATGGCATCTAAAATCCTCTCCTACAGTTGCACTGTCCTAGTAAATGGCACATTTAATATTAAAAGGGTTCTGAATTCTTGCATAAATACTGTAATATATTAAACAGAAATGAAAGCTATAATGTGATTACATAATTTTCAGTATGGTCAGTTAATAGTCTCTGAATTGTAAAGTCTGTAAAATAATAAATTTTAAATGGTAAATTAGTAGTTTCTGTGAATTTTTTTATTCTTCAGACTGATCCCAACACAATGGATTTTAGCTTTGCTCTACTGAATATTTTATTTTATTGAGTGAGTCAGTGAGTGATTTTGTGCCTTTAACTTCTCATGGATATTAACAGATGATCCCACCCCAGTGATGTGCCATGACTTGGGTCATATGGTCATGAGTTCTGATTAAGCAGCAAAAATCCCCTAAAACCCCCTCCTATCCAATGCTACAGAGATTTGTGGTTTAGTCTTGATATAAGTGCCTGAATTACTTATGCCCGGAAAAATAGTTTATATAGTCTCCAGTGAAAATTCATTATAAGGATCTTTTTTAGTAACCAGATAGTGAAAAAACTAAATTACACTGATTTGTTCTAGAAAACTGAAGTCACACATCTATTATTCCAGTGGGCATGTTTCCCTTGGTGCACCTCTGTCCCAGTTTCTCCAAGGCAACAGGCTTGTGCTTTTAGTGTCAGTCTTTAAACTGTCAGGGAGGCCTATGGTAACTGACACATTCACTCATATTATATGTATATGTATAATATATGTATAATATATGTATAATAATAAAAAATAAATAAAAATGCGAACAGTGAAAGTCCTTAATTTTTATTGGTACCTGAAAGCATGACCAAATTTGACAAAATATTGAATAACCATCTAAGAATAACCATGCAAAGAATGTGTAGATTTTTGTGGATGACCAAAATACATATTTTCTGTGAACTTGAGTTCTGCCCTAACACAATACTATTTCCTAATATTTCCTTAATATTCCTTTAATCATATTATGAAGAGCATTATGATTAAAAATATGATAAAAGGAAAGTCACCATTCACTTACACCTTTCCTCCATACAATAAAAGTGAATGGTGACTGAGACTAACATCTCCTTTTGTGTTTCAGGGAAGAAAAGGGGGTGGGGGGAATAAAGGTTTGAAACATGTCAATTTTCATTTTGGGGTGAGCTATACCTTTAAGATCAGAGGAAATCCTCATGTCAATATGAGCTTTTTTTTTTTTTACCCGGCAGGGGGCGCAAGGGGTACCTCGAGGAAAATGACTGGAGGATTTAAAGGTAGGTTCTGTGTGGCCATGGCAACGGCTTTACCTGCGACTTGAATGAAGACCCGAGAATAGATCGTCTGCTCTATATTTACTGACAGGGAACTCCTCTTTTGGCGTGAATGTGTTTCGTGAGTTGTCCATCTTAGATCATTGTTCCTTGGAGCCCGTCTAGGAATGGACCGTTAGATAGGCTACGCCTTGCTTTTGTGCTTTCAAAGCAGCTCAAATCAATATCACCTTTCTTTTTTGTTCATAAAAGTTAATAATTTACGTTTTACGGTTGCATATACAACACATTTATAGAATTCAAGGCTCTATAAGTCTCATATGGAGGTTTCGTGTAAGACAGCTCCACCGTGAGGCTTTTTGTCATACGTAGTCCTTCACTTGTATTTTTGGGAGAGTGTTTCCGTATATTTCTCAACGTCCAGCTCTGCTTGAGGTCAGAATTTGGCCCTGAACCCCCTACTACAGCCTCGGCTATCAAGTCGCCTTCACCCACTTCCTAAATCTCGCACACTCTCTTTAAAGGGGCGGGGCTACTGTGTCATGCTGCTCTGCGATTGGTCAATTCCGACGTCCATCAGGACTCGACGTTCTGGCTCGCTCTCGAACTCTGACCGCGCCCCCGAGGCTCAGCGGCTCTCGCGGCGGAGAAGGAGAGAGTGCGCGCCTCGTGAGGAGGCACCAACGGTCTGTTCTCACAGGAGAAAATCTAGAATATTTCAGCTCATACATGGCGAAATTTGTTTTACTCGACGTCCAGGCACATATCCATTCCGGACCGAGGCTCTGACAACGACAGGCGACGCGAATATCTGCAGCTCTCAGAGGTTGGAGTTTACCGAGGGTTTTCGTAGCAGTTTCGTGATTGGAGGCGCGCGAGTGCCGGTGTCGTCGTCTCCGCGGGTGCCGTTTCGTGCTTTCCGGTGGCAGCTGACACTTGCTCCTGTTTCCGAAGACCAGAAGGCCTGTTCTATCGCCCTCCTGTCCGGTTCACCCGGTGTCCCTGTCAGCGCCGGGCCGCCTGCACACTCACCCCGGCTTGGCCTCGCTCCTTCTCGAGCCCCGGCGACGACAGAGCTACCTCCCCGGTAGAGCCCGTTACCCACACCCCTCTAAAACACCTGCTGTGTTTACAACGATCAAACAAAACAGGAAATCCTAGAAGAAAAAACTGAGAAGAGAGACGGGACCCGTGCGCTGGTGATATAGACAGACGGAGCTGTCATACAACAACATATCAGCAGTTCTCTGAATTTACATAACGTTATATTAAGTTTATTCTTACGCGGGACTGGCTTATTCTCTTGTGCATATCCGTTATTAAGGTATTAGACAACAAAACGTCGCATATAGAAACTAAACACGCTTTGTGCAAAGGCAAGGCCTCGTCTGCTAACTCGGATAGCTGCATCGCTAACTCTCAGCCTGGGTTTAATCAGCTTCTAATCTTATTAACTGCACTTTTTGACTCATATACATCGCTTTCTTTGTACCATACGACACAATAGAAGAGTGATTTTAATTTAAAGTCGCTGGTTCAACGCACAGTACAGTATCCTTGCCAAGAGATCTGTTGAGCAGCAGGAGGAAACCCAGCTGTCAGCCTTTATAATCTACTACTCGGCCTGATTAATTCCCACCTTGGAAAACAAAAACCGAAGAATCTTATGTGTTGGGCTGGTTTCAGCTGACCTTTGCTACCAAAATTAACTAAGTCCCTCGCGAGATTTCTTGCGCTGCAACCCCGCTGCATGCACTGATACGGGAAAGGCTTGATTTATATTTTTGTACCATAGTTCAGGAGCCATTTAGAACAGGGTCAGATATCTGCACAAACCCCCTACTACTGTTTAGACATGAGTATCGAGATTCCAGTCGGTCTGACGGAGCTGCTTCAAGGCTACACCGTGGAGGTGCTGCGCCAGAGGCCGCCGGACCTGGTGGAGTTTGCCGTGCAGTATTTCACCCGCCTGCGGGACACCAGGAGCCAGGACGGGTCCGGGACCGCCTCCGCCGCCAAAACCGGGGGGAAGGGAGTGATGTTTGATGGCGAGCCGATGCAAACCGAGTCGAACGGCGAGGAGGATGACGAGGACGATGACTCAGATTTTGAGCGTGAGTGCCTCTTTATTAAATGCGCTTTATTACACCGCCTGCAAAAGAGATGATATTGCTGTTTGCGTTTGCTTTAGTGGATAGTGTGTTTGCACGTCTAACAAGGGTGTCAGATTTCTCTTGTGACGGGTAACGTGAGGAATAGCCTCATCTAGGCTGTTTCCATGACATCCATGCGCTTGATTGACAGAGTGACAAGTGGCATCCCCAGTTACCCGCGATGCATGCAGAATTAAGAAGGGCTAGATTGCACGCTTAATGGATTTGCATTAATATTTATGCACTTTGTTTTTTGAATAGAGACGGATTGTGAAATGTGTGTGTGTGATCGGGTTGGCGATGTTAGCCCATTCGTGCTGTATGAATTGCTTGTATGAATGGATGCAGGCTGGCCATTGAGAATGCTAACAGAGATTTTTCATAATGGAGAGAAGTGCGCTCGCGCACATCAAAGCAGCGCCTCTTTTCTTTCATGTAGAGCAGAGCGAGCAGCTGCGCTTTCCTAGTGGAAACCAAGCTGATTTCACTGGCAGACTTTTCTCAAGTCAGCAGTTGTGAATCTATCCATTGAGAGAATTCTGGGCCGTGGAGAACAGTTAGGAAAGAGGTGCGGAAATGGATACAGGGATTATAACAACCTGCCCAAATCGCTTAATCATATTTCGTCAAAGCCGCATAATGCAATGCCTGCCTATGACTGACTGGATTATGGCTTGTTTACATTGATTGTTTTTAATATTTAATTCTGTAATTGTTTTTGCAACCTTTTGCTAAATAGAATGGGGAAGTCCGTGCCTATCTGTGTGCTAAATCTGATTTTAGATCATTTAGATTATGCACTTTCAGTGGTTTAGATTCCAGCAGGTACATCAGTCTCTTCTCACGTTCTAATAGGCATACTTCACTACTATATAGTGTGCAAAAAGCAGTATTAGAATGTCTGAATATGCAACAGTAAGTACATTTACATGCACGGTTATATTCAAGCTGCTTTGTCCAAGTATACATGACACAATTTAAAATCAAATGTTCAAAGGATTCGGTTGGACTAAAGCGTTTACATGTAATTTTAAGAAGACAAATGCATCTATTTAGGCAAACAGTGCTGAGTGAAACACTGCATCCACTGAGATTCTGAGGTGTACAGCAGTTTCATATCCATAGGAGCTGTTGGATTCGTAAAGTTGAGAAATTAAAAAAAGGTGGAAATCTGAGCTGAGTGGCTCTTTTTCTAGTGCAAGTGTAGACTAGTTACCAAGAAAGTTGTTGTTGTTATTTGACAGCACCCACAAAGATTATTTTCACAGTTGTTAGTACATCATTGGCCAGTGAACATCTGGATGAAGGGACAGTGCCAAGATGGCAGATGTGCTATATCTGAGAATGTTTTCATATTTCAAATTCGTATTCATACAGCCCATTTGAATCAGACCCAACTTTATGCACATTGTGCAGGACCCCCTTTTCCATTTAACATAATTTATTGGACTCTCTCGGTTTTAATGCAAGTAAAAAAAACAACAAAAAAAAAAACCTTTTTTATGAAGTACACTCAAAGATTTGTTTAGTAAGATTTTACCAGAAAAGATTTTAGATTTTTTTTAATTATCAAATCTTGTATAATTTTATCTGCTGTATTTTTGCATTTGTTTGGTTTTATTTTGTGTTTGTAACTC